GGAAGGCTCTTGTGAACACGGTGATGAACCTTCGGGTTCCATAAAATGCTGGGAAATTCTTGAGTAGCTGTAGAATTGGTGGCTCCTCCAGAAGGGCTCAGCTCCATGAGTAAGTAAAGTAAGTAAGTAATTACCAGGCTTGAGTAAAACCATAATAGAGGAATTAAAATGATTCCTAAGTGAACAAGAGCAAAAAAGAGTATACGTATGAGTTATGCCCAAACTCATTCACGAGCCAATACTTTTATTACATATTCTGCAGATTAATGTGTTAGATATATAGTAAAATTCAATGTATATGATTCTTCGAACATTTCATAACGTTAAGGTTCCTTGTTGATTTAAATTTCATTTTTGCAAATACATTCATTATAAATCAATTCAGAACTAAGTTTTCTTTAATATAGCTGACATGTCGGAATCCAGCTTTGACGTGATTAATACCTACAGAGTTTTTATTTTTGGCAAGTATAAAGAGATTTTATATACAGCTTCCAAAGTATGGCCATTGCTATAAATTACCAGTACTTGCAGTTTTAATGTTATATTTTAGCGTCCTGTTGCACTGATTTAAGTCCATGATTTATTTAATCCATCTTGCAGTGCATACACTCATTTATTTCCTTCTCTCCCTCGCACTACATGTGCGAGGGAGCCCAACAGTATAACACACGCAGTCGCAGGAGCACGACACAACAAAAGCACAACACACAAGATAGTGAAGGAGTGCTCCAACAAAGGAGAATGGGCGTGACTGATGTAGTGAGGGGCGACGTAGCGATGTGGTATCCTGAACAATTTTAATATTTTTAACGTTTGACAATGTATATGATAGATACATATTTTAGTTATTTTAATGTGTGAACATGGCATGCAATGAACTGGTTTGACGTGGATAAGTAAGCACCTGAAGATGGCATTATTATGCCGAAACATGTAGTGCGAGGGAGAGAAGGAAATAAATGAGTGTATGCACTGCAAGACGGATTAAATAAATCATGGACTTGCAGTTTTGTTTATGAGATAAACAAAAGTTTGATTATAGGAAATTTTGTATGAACTGTAAACACACGATTCAAGAGTATGTTGTTTACGTATTTATCACATTATCATAAATAACATTTGATTTGGAGTTAAATTCATTGCACAGCATCCATAATGGAATGAATCCTGAAAGTATACAGCATTGTAATTTGTGTTTAAAATGTAGACAGTATTTTATCATGTTTGCAGAAAGCATAAATTGGAGACAGACATGGAGGCCATACACTGGATATGCTTAAAGTAAAAATTATAAAAATGTGGTTATAAATCTCCATTCTAGCCCTTCAGATATACATACATATGTGTGAAATAACTAAAATTAAAGCATAATTTATTTGTATCATATATATTTTTAACATGATTTGTACTTATACAAAAGTGATATGGTTCTCATTGCAAAATATGGTGTTCACCACACAGCTGTACTGATCATCTGCAACATAAAAGAATTATTTCAAACTTCTATATTTTCATTTTTCTCCATTTCATTTTCCCACAGTGTAGTCCATAGTAGTTATATTCTTCCTTTATTTTCAGCTTATTTTGAAACTCCTCTTTCTATAGTTAAATGTTTGGATATTTGATTGTCTGTTGATAGGCCTCTGTTTTTTTTCTTAATGTCTTCGAATTATGTATATACGAGGGGGTACCCAAAAGAAACCGAACTTATTTTTTTTAAACTTATTTATTCAAATTTTAAGCACAAACCTTCAATCCCCTTCAAAGTACTCTCCACTTACACTAATACACTTGTCTAGTCTTTTATTCCATTTTTCAAAACATTGTCTAAATTCATCTTTTGAGATGCTTGACAGCGCCTCCGTCGTTTTTTTCCTTCACCTCAGCAACATCAGCAAAACGCTGAAAAAAAGTTTTGATCATTTCGGGACTCTTCTTTCAAAGCACAGCATGCTTCCACGCGACCTTGTTTTTGTTCAGCAGTCAGCAGTCGTGGCACGAATTTCGCAGCCACCCTTTTCATTCCCAAATCTTCTGTCAAAATTCGCTGAACTGAGCTCCAAGTCACTCCCGACAGCTCCACAATTTCTTCAATGGTCCGTCGTCGATCTTCCTTGATGATTTCATGAATTTTTTCAACATTTTCATGTGTTCGGGCCGTGGAAGGACGACCAGAACGAGGTTTGTCATCAATTGACATTTCACCATTTTTGAAACGGGAAAACCACTCAAACACTTGAGTTTTCCCCATAGCATCGTCCTTGTACGCCGTTTTTAACATTTCAAGAGTTTCTGTTCCACTTTTCCCGAGAAAAAAGCAGAATTTCACCGCCGCACGCTGTTCACGAAAATCAGCCATTGCAAAAACGACGATCACACAAAACAGTTGTCACTATAAACTCTGCCGAAACTAGTCCTTACCTTCTGAAGCAACGGTAGTCGGCTTATCGACTCAGGAATGTTAGCTCTATGCGCTCATAGCGGCAAAACGCGGTACTACAAAAGCTCTGCCCACAAAAAAATTAGTTCGGTTTCTTTTGGGTACCCCATCGTAAATGTTTGACAGACCATAGTTATATTAACTTTTTCAGGTCTTACTGTACTCCCATTTTTTCTCCAACATCTGACGAATGCAAAAGATCTGATCAGTAGTTGATCTGTTATGACGAAACCCACACTGTAGATCCTCAATAATTTCATCAATGTATGGACTTAACCTTGAGAAAAGAATATTGGACAAAATTTTATATGAAGTTGATAGCAGTGATATCCCTTGATAATTACTACAGTCAGTTTTATCACCCTTCTTGTGAACTGGTACAGTAATAGACTCCTTCCGCTGATCAGGCAATTTTTCCTTATGCCAAATAGAAGTAATTAGATTGTGGATCATACAGTGTAATATTTCGCCTCCAGCTTGAATAAGTTCTGCTGGAATTTGATCACTACCTGGCGATTTATACCATTTCAATTTTGCAATAGCAGGTACTAACAGCTCAGCTGTATGGATGACTGTCTGCCTAACATCACTGACCCTATGTACATTCAATAACTGAGAGAAGTAATTCCTCCACCTATTCAAAATGTTGTGGGAATCTGCAAGCAGATCACCATTCTCATCCTTCACTAAGTTACTTCTAGGTTGGTAACCCCTCTTAAAGTCGTTTATTCCTCTATACAGGTCTCTAATGTTCTTGTTCTTACTGTTCATTGTAAGCTCATCAATTTTGTCTTTCAGATATTCCATCTTTTTATTCCTGAAATGCTTAGCTGGTTTCACATCTGATATTGTTCAAATAATCCCTATTTATTTTGTTTGGATCGTGTAACAATTGCAATTTGGCTTGTTTTCTTTGGTCTAATAATTTTGAGCATCCTTCATCGAACCATTGCTTATGTTTCTTCAGGTCATAATAACCTAGACTCTCATTGGCAGAAATTTTGATATTCTCTCTAATAGTTTACATAAGAAAATTACTCCATGGCTACTCCATCACGACAAGGAACGTAATAGATCCAACATCAGAGGACGCCAAAGAACAACAAGACCTTCAAACGTGAAAGTGCTGTCAATGTGATGAGTTGAAGTTTATTTCATGAACTTTTTAACCAAGTAGTAATATAACTAGATACAGTGAACTAAATTTTAAATTTTAACTTTTAACATTTGTATTTTTAACTTATAT